TTTGTGCCAATAAACTTTCAATTGATTGTTTTAACGAGTCTTTGAGTATATCGTGGGTTGCTGTATAATAAAACACATTCAAACATAAGGGAATAGCAAATAAAATGAAAATAGTCAGTTGTAAATAAACTATCGATGTTATGTGTTTATCTAAACCGAAACGTCAGCTTTGAATTTGTTTAATGTTATTATTTGTCTTGACGCTAAAATAAATTAGCGAGAGAAATGGAAGAAGACTACAGCCGATGGGAATTAAAAAGTAGTTTAAATATTGGAGATAATTTATTATCTAAACTGTACATGGAAATGGTGAACGAGAGGTTGCCGTCGAATGACATTGGACGCTTCTGTATTTAAATGCAGTAGAATTGTGAAACCTAATATATTGGCATAAGATGCATTCTGACTGAGTTCTGCGTACGATCCTTTACAATGGTGGCAGGCGCGAGTGGTACTCTTCAGTTTCCTTCAGAGATTATGCTGGTTCACATAGAGATACATGGGTAACATTGGCAGGAAATATTAGTTTCTGTAATACTAGGGCCCTAATACTTCAGAAATTTTTGTTCTGCTAAACTTTAATTAAACAGCATGGAGTATATGAAATCAAATGTGCTGATCATGTTTTGCATTTGTAAAACACATTAGATGTATGCCAAACTGTTTGTTCGTACATAATCAAATAAAAGCTTTGTTGTTGTCTGGTTGTCTTAGAAGAAAAAAATGACACAGAAAAGCGATTTTGTTTTATTTCTTCAGATGCAAAACTTTTTTCTCCTACTTGCTTATTGAGTAAACATAAAAGGTCATGTTCCAAAGATTCATGTGTAATGAGTAGCTCATTTAACGACAGCATACATATAAGCAAACTTGCATCGTCAAATAAATTAGTTAGGCGGGCGACTAATTTAAGTAGTACATTCGACGGTGACAATCTGATATTCTTACTACCCTGTCCTACCTACTGCCTCGTTAAGCTTTCTCTCATTTACAAAACCGCAAGTTTCCCATTCCAGTGTAAAATAATTTTAAGAATGTACCACGTCTTCCTGCAGATGAGATATTATGCCTAACTGTCCGTCCCATTTTCAGCGATCTTTTGAATAAATCACAAAAAAATGCAGGAATATCTTTGAATGATCTGATGTGCTTTATTCATTACTTGACCAAAGAATTATATTCCACAGGATCTTTTTTTCCCTATTTATAGCGTTATAATGTTATAAAACATGCTTTTTTTAAAATTATGGTATTACAACTCTATAGACTTATCTCATTACATCGCGATAGACGTAGTCTCTCGTGTTATAACACGTTGCAAAGTTATTTTTCAGGAATTTATCGCGTTGTAACTCGATAAAAATTATCATTGAATTAGAACTCTATTATTTAAAACAAATTTTCCTATTTGCGATTGTTTAAATGCTTGTTTATAAATACGTGATGGTTGAATAAATAAGAAGAACATGAGTAGTTGCGATATATAGGCAAAATAATAAAGCGAAATAATAAAATGTTTTAACCAAACAATATTCCATATATCACAACGGAGAATAAAACCAGCTAATAATTGGGGTAATGAACATAATATCATTAATAATGAACATAACAATTGTTCATAACGTAATTTTATTTGGAACCATAATGATGAAATGAATGATTCATGACTAACATTTGATTTACTTCGTGCAGCTATTGTAGGAATAATTCCGCTTGCATAAAGATTTAACAAAACCGGGACGATATGATTAGTAAATATGGAAAGGGTATCAACTGTTTTCCATACAGAAGATAACGATGAATATTCGGTAACACAAATAAGTTGATTATTATTTTGTGTGTCGTTGGTTATACGATGCAATAAAATATCCATGACGGCACTTGCTGCCACTAAGAAGATTGTTAGAAGATACACCATGAGTTTTTGCTTATCATACTTATCGATTGGAACACCATGCTTATTTAAATTGCTTATTTTTATATGTTTTGTATTTTGTGCACGGTTAATTGAAATAAAACGAATGGACCATTTGCTAATGTAGGTAAATGTTCTTGATAAATATGAACATAATTTACACAAAATTAAATTTAATAAAGGATGATGATTAAGAAGAGAATATTGATTAAGAATAATATAGAGAACGTGTGCTAATAAAAAAGTTAAGCTCAATTGACTTGTAATGGTTGTTAAAATAATAAATCAAACAATTGTTGTACGTCGAATTGTTGATTGACATAATGCTGCTAATGAGAAAATATTACTAACGAAGCCAATTAACATCATTGTGCCTGAAATTGATATATAACCAATTGTTATTGGTAAATGAGAGATACTCATGGATGTAGCATCAGCTAAAATAGAGAAAGAGAAAAATAATACTGTGCACTGATCATAAGCTGTAAGCCTGAAGAACAACTTAAAAATCTTCTATATCGTTCAAACAAATTTTCAATTTGAAAAAGTTTCATAACAAAAAGCGCAGAATTAAATTCCTGCTCAGTATTTCTCTGATATTTTTCCATTCTTTTGATAAAAAAGATATTCTCCATTCATTTCTCCAGTAAAGATATTGTGAATATTTTATGAGGAAATATTAAAGTACACTGAGATAAAGAATCAAAATAAGCAGTAAAATAATCAAGTTCGTGACCAGTAAAACAGTTTTTGCTTTTTATATTTACTTTTGAGATATTGCAAAATCAAGCTTGCCATTTAATAGCCATTAAGAAGATCTATCTCGAGTCAATGATTATTTATAATAATTAAAGACATTTTTAAAATGTCTCCAGTAATTGCGGTATTTTGAAGTTTTCAAAACTTCTATCTTGTATTCAGAGAACACTAACTCAAAACACAGTTTATTGTAGTGGGTATAGAACTGATAATATCTGACAATAAATCTTGATTTTGATTTAAATCAAAATCGTTTGTATTTCTTTAACCGCAATAAACTTGCATGATTTATAGAGTATTCTGACAATGAATTTGTCTTTCTCTCGATACGTTAGCATGTTATCACCGAATTGTTTTGGTGATGTTCTATATATATATTCTCAGTATGCGTTGAGAGAAAACTTACAGAAAGGTAGTCTCGAGGACTGCATGCGTAGTAAGGGTCGGTCCGAATTTCCAAAGCTTGAGCTTTTCTGTAGAGAAATAAGCGGTTGTAAAAACAAAATTTATTCAATCTGACGACGATAAAGTCTTAAGATATGTTGAAATCTTTGGGATTCTTGCCTGTTTCTAACGAGATTTAACCATTTTTTCAACAGATACAGCACTACTGCGTTTTTTGCTTGATCTTTGTTTTGTCGCTACGATCTTCTCCAGTTTTCGGTCAGCTTATTGGATTTTGTTATGCTTTGGAGGCGATGATGATGCTTTATCATGACCAGGTTATTTGACTTCAAAGACATCTTATAATTCCGCTAATATTTATCGTTTAGTAAGATAAATATTCAGTCGTCCATAAAGGTTGACAAGTTTCTACTGATTGTTGTACCATTTTAAAATATTGAAGACTCTTGTCTGAGACATATTCATACCGATACAAAATGTGTGACAAGTTAAAAACACGTAGAAGTTGGAAAGATCTCAAAATAAGCTAAGACTGTCTTTAAATTAAATTTTTTGTTGATCCCATTTATCTTGAAAAAATCATGATTAAAAACAATCATCTGTTCACGATATTAAATATCAATAACCGTAATCCGAAGAAATTGCGATTAGACGTAACAGACCTTAATCATATCTGACTTTTATGCACGATTAAAATAAGTGTTAACTACGTCGTGTAACTATACTGTCAGACTATATCGCTAGATATTATATAGTTCTATACCTGTTACAATAAGCTGTGTTTTGAGCTAGTTTTTTCTGGATACAAGGTGAATGCTTATAGTTCCACATAAGCAAGTTGAATTCGAAATTCGAACTCTACCTCGAAACTTCGAAACTTTTTATTTTCAATGAAAATAAATTAGATTAAATCTCGTTAAATATATTTCAAAATTCTGAGCTTTTAGTCACACCATTAGAAAGAACATGGAAAACTGTATACACATTCTCATCTCTTGTTTCTGTTTTGTGTACGGACTCAGTTCTCCTCAAGTTTATGCAAACTTTTTCATGAAGCGGTTTTTTTAAACTTCGATTCTCATCTCTCGAGTCCAATGGTCACTGGAATCGAGTGTGCCTATTGTATCTATTTCCAAAGGTACCAAGACAAGGAGCACGAGATAGCTTGTCCAAGACTCGCACGACCGCCGTTGCTGGGATTCGAACTCGGTATTTTGTCGTACGATGTCTACCCACTAGACGGCTGAGACACGCTGCTCCCAGGCAGCCCTACTGTTGAAGTCGATTCAGATTTTAAAAGTCCGTTCCGAACGCCCGACTGCAGAGCACATTCACTCTCGAACTAAAGCTAACCCGGCTTCAAATTTTTGCCATATGCAAATAATTACAGTAGAAAAGGGTTAAGTTTCAAGTCAAATACTTTGTGAGATATTGAAAAGGCAATTTTTAAAATCTAGCTAAACAAAGTATATTCTAGCCAACCTTTTTTCTCGTTCTTCCGTTTCTATACTTCCTGTAATTTTTTCAATAGATAAGAAGATAGTGTTTACCTCGAAGGGCAAAATAGGGAAAAAAGATTCGATCTTTATTTACAGCTGCTACCAAGGGGGAAAAATCTCACTTCAAATGTGAGCACTTATGACCGAAGTGTCACTTGAAGTGCCGAAGTGACACTTGAAGTGCTGAAGTGACACCCTAAGAGTGTGAGTCAGTTTTAGAGCGAACGCGGTATTAGTTTATATTTTGTTTTTCTGACTGTTTTTCTCTTCTCTACCGAAAATCGCGATCCGAACTTTGGACCTTGCTGTAAGAAGAATTAGATTTTGGTTAAAAACCAACAGTCGAATATTTCTACTATCTGCACCAAAATTCAACGCATTCAGTTGTTTTTCGAATAACTTCAGAACGATAAAAGATAGAGACCTGCGATTTTCAACAATCGAAAGAAGACAGGTTAACCTATGTTTTCATCAGCAAAACCCTTTTCCGAAACTATTCGGAAGGAGATCTTTGAAAAAGCACTTCGGATCTCGGGAAACTGAGCCAACAATCAGCTTTTTTCCATAAATAGATAGTCCAAAGTGTCCTCTTCAAAATGTGAACTAAGCGAACTCTTGAGTTTTCTCGGTTCAGGCGTAGCATCGGATTGGCTGAGAGTCTGAGGTATTTCTTTAGGTGTGATAATTCCGAAAATAATGGAAACGTAGGTAATCAACCACGCTGACTCTCGTGGCAATATTTGTTTTTCAGAAAACCTCCAACAACCTAGTGAAAACCTATATTAGGTGGAATAACTAATTTCATAATCCGGTCAAGATCAATCTAAATTATGTCAGAATATCAAGATGTACTCTATTTTACCTGCTCAATACTATACAGTTCAATAAAAGCTTTAAAAATCAACACAAAATACCTTCTCTTTTGAAACAGTTTTCTAGAAATCTTTCGAAGTACACGAATGTTTTTTACTATTCTGAAGTAAAAAATCGTCTTGAGCAGGTAAAGTAGAGTACATCTTGATATTCCGACATAATGTAGATTGATCTTGAGTGGATTATGAATGGAATGATCAATTGTATCATTATGACATAACAGAAACGTAACAATTCGAATAACAGGGGACAGGGAATGCTCTGTTTTACATCCGAAACTTGAAACTAGTGTAGTATTAATAGCTAATATAACTGTAAGACGATGATTATGATATTGGCAACGATTATCGTAGTAACTCGGTGGACATAAACATTTCCTCTGTCTTTCACGCATAACTGGTATACCACGATCACAATACCATGTAATCTCGTCTTGAGTAGCTTCTTCTTCCGACCGTAATCGCTGGTGATTGAAAATAACACGAGTGTACTGTTTCGTTGGATGATATTATGCTATTTGGTTACAAGGGTATTCATCACGATCATTGACAATACAATCTCGCTTACCATCACATCGTTTTTGCCTAGATATACAATACTGCAATGACGTTACATTTACAACACAAGACAGTGTGTTCTAGTGGACAAATATTGGTTGTTGACGAACGTTCACCACAGATATAAGGATCTTCACCACCGTCATCTACACGATCACTATGTCCATCACCTGCATCATAATAAAATATTCTATACAACCGAGTAGTCACTACCGGCAGACTGATTCTAATTTGGTATTTGCGAGCTTGACAAAATCGATAGTTGTAATTAGAAAAAATCTAATAATCGCCCAATTACTAGATTTCCACTGTCGTTACACAGCAGTTGCAATCGAGTAAAAATCTAGTAATCTAGATAAATCGGGCGATACTAGATCATTTGTTGACGCTTGGATATGGACAACAAGGAATTGTTAAACTCATTTTGGAGAAGACCAACACGATAAGGTCGATCAGGAATAAGCACACCCCCTATGATGAGGCTAAAAGTGATCAAATCCGACAGCTGTTTCGAAGGCAGAACGCCGAACAAAGATTTGTGGCTCAAGGAGAAACGCAAATTGAATGGATAAAACATTTGACGAAATGGTGTGATGAAAGTAACTACGGACGAAGTCTCAGGCGTTCTCATCAATCTTTGGCTAAATTACACTTTGTTGGTGTTACTTATCGAGGAATGAGGGTGACAGAAACTGATTTAAAACAATATTCGGCGAAGACTTGCCTTCTAAATAAAGCATTTTTATCCACATCGAAAGATCGTGGCGTTGCTGGATCATTTTGCAATGAAATCTGATAGTAAAATGGCAGCAATCTCCATCTACGAGATTCGTTATCGTTGGTCGGCTCTTGATGTGGAGTCTGCTAGTGAATATAGTCACGAAGGCGAAGTAATCATCCAGCCGTTCTGTGCAGTTTGATTTTCATTTCCTTTCTTCAACAAAACTGTAATCCATTCTGTAACAGAACGTTATCCCAACCGAACAGTCAGTCTGGAATAATAGTTGCGAAAATTCCCAAATCTTTCTCTTTCATTCTTGACAAAAAAGATGACAGTTCTACTAGATCATTTTCATATCAATTATTCTGGCATTATTTAAATGTAGTTTCAATACCTTTCGTAAAACTGCAGACTTTCATTAAATATAACATTAATAAGAATCAAGACAATGTTAACTTTTATATAAATTTACAAATGTCATACAGTACCAATAATGAAATTAATTTAATCGATTCATTTGAGATTGTGAATCTACTGATTCATCAGCAGAAATGTAATGTACAATACAACCAAAACATGATGATACAGTTGAAAATTGTACGTATTATGAGTTGTTATGAACCTTCGCTTTATAATGCTTAAATAAATCAATTTAATTAAGTTAATTATTGGTGCTGTACAAATACACAAATGTCATTAGAAAAAGTCCTGCCATTATCTCTTGTTAATCGACACTAGTTATAGTTAATCTGAACTAAAAAGTCTATCAAAGTGAATAATGTGGACAGAGGATTTCGTCCATAAAAGTTTGACTTTGTAGTACTGATACTTGTATGGAATCAACAACAAAAAGAAGAAAAATAGTCTTTTTCAATATTTATTCGAAAATCAAAAACCAAGAAAAACTGAAAAATGGCCTGTAATATATTTCTGATGTCGAATTCAAAGGACAGAATAGGAAAGAGTTGATGCTCTAAGTTATATGTGTTTGATGTGTGGAAACAATACTGAAAGTTATTTACAAAAGTAGTGAGAAAATTGATCAGGTGGAAGGTATATTGAGATATGCATAACAATCAGGAATAAATATGAAAATTCGTTTTTTTAATTTATCACCACTGTTTTAAAAAGATCTTTTTGCATAATAATAATAACCCAGTACCAATAATGAATTTGCTACTTGGCCCAGCTAATGATCCGGCACACGTGTATCCTGTAAGACATAGACTACAACTGGTTGTCGAATACGATATACTCCCAGAAGTACAAGTGACAGCTAATGTACCTGTGATAGCTATCAGAAATACCATAAGGGAAAAAAGCTGCATGATAATTTAGTCGGTGGTGTGTATTTCTAAGTTACTTTAATCCAAAATAAAAGAAGATAAATTAATAGAGTATAATTTAGTAAATTTTTACTTTTTTCTCCTCTTTAAACGCCATTTCGCTATAAAAAACTGAACTTTAACGTCGTCTGATGTGTAGCATTAACTGGACAGTATGAGTTCGAAATGTATGGAATGTTATTGCAAATACAATGTATTATATATGTGAAACCTTTCATTCAATGGTTATTGTCTCAACAAATTTTGAATGAAAAATGATGGAGATTTGCATAAATATCATATGATAGCGAAGACCTTACAGCACAAAGGTCAGCATAGTCTAATACGTCGATCAAAATGACTTGAAAAATTCATATAATATTGCGATTTATTTCACGAATACATAGTAGAAAAAAGCAAGCTGAAAGTAGTTAGAAAGCAAAGTCAGTATGATTTTATGCTCACGAGTTCGCACAGTATTGTCTCTTATCTTTTTCTAAAGGAAAATGAATCCATCATACTCTTTTAGCATATTGTTTGTGTCAATAGAATATTAACACAACTGAATTATCAAGCCTTCGTTGCACTGGTAGCATAATATGCGAAAATGATCGATACAACAATTCAAGTATTTATTTTGATTCACAAGTGAAAAGTGAAACTGTTTCTGTGCTTGAAATGAAAAAGCAAATCAGTCTCTCTCTTTTTTGAATAAACAAATAAAAGAATGATGTCTATTTGTAGTCTAGGGGATCGATAATAATTATATAAACTTCAAACAGAAAGCAGTTTAACCAGTAGAAGCTGAACAGTAGAAATCGACGATAGTAGGAGATATAGCAAAATAATATTAATATTTTAAGCAAATTAATATTTTAATTGGTTTGTATTTATGCTATGGCACTTTTAGTACTCTGTTCAATTAGTACAGCAGTGTATAGAGAACAGCCTGATGAATTTATTTATTTTTCAAAATAATAGAGAGGATGTTTGTAAATAATCGGTTTTTATGCATGAATACTATCCGTCCCAAAATACGGTGGTCGTGAGTGTTTTGCTAATAACTTTTAAACAGAGATGAGATAGCAACCTGCGGTTAAAACGTAGGTTTCGTTGAAATTCACAGCATACACTTGGTAATCGTATAAATGCTCTATTATTTTATTCCAAACCGTTATTCTATTTAAACATCAATTGATAGGTCTGGCCTTAATGTTTCCAACATAAGGTGAACTTGAAAGTTTTGTTTCTTAACATCTATGTTCAAAAAGGTTGTTAGAAAGGAATTAGAAGAAGGTTGGCAATAAACTAGGCAATAATACTGTAACATGTCTAGGGGGTAGAGTATTACTCTATAAAAAATCTTAAAATATAGCTAATAAAATCAGAAGAGGTGATTCGCTATACTTATTCTTAATATAAGATGAACGGCGGAAGCGAGAGACAGAAAGAGAGAAATCAGCTGCATCTGGCATGTACTAATCGATACATTCGCTCTCTATTACACATACATACACAAACGTTCATTCTTTAACAAACATCATAATATTCATTTCTCTCTGTTGTAAACGTATTTTCTTATAAAATTATCTAAAACTTTGAACACACTTTTGTAAAATGAATTCAAATAAAGACAATGCCGCACAGTTGCTTGTTTCCACAATGCACAAAAAAATGCGGAGAGGTAGGATGTGGTAGACGAAAAGTTTCATTTTTTCGATTTCCTTCTGGTACAACTTTATTGAACAAATGGTGTGAAGTCCTTTCGTTAGACGTTACAAGTCTCAGTGCAACAAAAGATCCACGTATCTGTAGTGAACCATTTTCGTCAGATGATTTCGTTCAACAATCTAATCAGGTGATGTTGTCGTCAGATGCCATACCGATTTGGAAAGGCAAAGCAGGTATGTGATGTTTTAGTGGAGAACCGTCAGAGATGTACATATTTTACTATATATTTAGACGGATCGGGTCGTACTTCGAGATCACGATCAGAAACATCTCTAGGAAGGGATGACAGGTCCGGTGGAAGAAGTCGTAACTTCTCAGCTAGTTTCAATATTGCTGATTTTAACGTGGAGGAGGAGATGCAGTTATTAAGAGCAAAGGTTTTGGTGTTAAAATTACAGACATTGCCACCATCGTTAGAAACCTATGAAAATGACGACGAGAGTATTGCTCTTTATACTGGATTTCCAAGTTATGCTGTTGCCCGTTTTGTTCTTGATTTAGCTGATCCGGGCAAAAATGGTATGTTAAAGCATACACCTTTGGATATTTTGACTCACTTTAACTCTTCTTTCCAGGTTGCAACAAGTTGGATAGGAGTGAAAAATCTGTGACCAAGCTTGAACGTGTTTCACTTACAGAAAGTCAGCAATTCTTATTAGTAATGATGAAATTACGACAGAATTTCCCTTTCTTAGATCTTGCGAAAAGGTTTCATGTTAGTCATATGACAGTTTCAAGGTGGTTTAAATCCTCCTACTATATTTTTCGAAAAATTACTAAAAATATTAGTTTTCTTTGTTACTTTTTCAGGTTATTCGATCGATGGATTAATTATTTGTATATTAGATTTGCCAAATTTCCTATATTTCTCACAGCTGAATATGTCAAACAACATTTACATCCAACATTCACATCGTTTCCCAATTGTGCACTTGTTATAGACAGTTTTCCTGTGTATATACAATGACCAAAAAATTTAACTTTACAGTCCATAACATATAATGAGTATTATGGTTCGAATGTTTTAAAAGGACTCATTGGAATAGCACCAACAGAAGACTTTCCAGTTGTTTTCTTGTCTTCCTTATTTTCCGGTGCCATATCAGACAAAGAACTTGCCATCAGCTCTGGTTTAACGACACTAAAGTATCCAGCGAACACTCAAATTATGGCTGACAAAAGTTTTCGTTTACAAGATATTGAAGCCGAAAAAAAATGGAAATTCGTTATTCTATCATTCATTGATAAGTCTGGTCAGTACAATCACACTAATATAGGTGAGAATATGAAAATCGTCAGTGTACGTATAAGAATTGAGCATGCAATCGGTCGGTTTCACATATTCTGTACACGTGAAAACCGAGTAACAGCTCAAAAGCTTCTAACATGGCAAAGTCTGACCTACACTTTTTATTACATATTCGGAATCGGTGGGAAAAATTGAGGTTATGAAAACGTTTTGAGGGAGTTTGGGCGAAAAAATGAGGAGTTATAGGCATTTCAAAGTGAAGACGTCCGAAACACCGCAAAAAAGAGATGTTTTCAATGTTTCACCTGTAACTCTGTTATTTTTCGTTCAAAATTTTTGACCAACGTCTCATTAGACAGAGTGATTGAAACTGATTCTATAGAGGTGTTTTCAGATTTTTTTCGGCGTAAACTGGATTTTTAAGAAAGCGATCACTTGAAAAATGGTGATTAGCGGTAGAACCTTGTAGAGCAAAGAATTTTCTATATGATAGGCTATGTTTTTAGTTTTAACAGTGTGTGCGTCATGGCAAAATTTTTGAAACAGCTTGCACAAGCAAAAACATCAAATTTCAGTTTTTTGCGTTCTTTTTGTCTAAACTCGCTCGAAACTCAAAACAAAGGTGATGTTTAGAATCAGCATCATAAAATGAGCCAGTATCTGCGTTACTTAGAGAAATTATACACGAAATAAAGACTTTCATTTTTTGATACGAAATGGCCACGTGTATCGCTGTAAGAAGAGAAGTCCAAGCGGAAACGGAAGAGTAGAATAAAGGACCCCGCCGTTTAAGAAAAACAACTCCGTTTGAGCTTATATTCTACAGTTTTGTAGAAGAATGGAAGGCGAATTTTTCTGTCGTCTCAGAATTTTTTCAGATCCCTCCTTATTAACAAACCTAGGCTAACAACTTTTCTCAGTTGATATACTACCAGTCTAAATGATGGGTCCTATAAAATTTTATAGAAATGTTATGTACATAACATTTCTATAAAATTTTATAGGAC